CACATACACCTGAGCTGGTGGGTTTGAATCCAGCCTGGGCCTGCCAAACAATGATGGCTGCAGCCAAAAAATAGGGAGATGGAGAGATGTGGACGCAGGAGAATCGCTTGAGCCCAGGAGTTGGAAGTTGCTGTGAGCTATGATGCCACAGCACTCTTCCCTGGGACAACAGCTTAAGGCTGTGTCTCAAAAAAAAAAAAAAAAATATATATATATATATCTTTTGCTCATTGAATTGCGTCAGTACCTTTGTTGGAAAGTGCTTGGCCATCTATGTGCAAGTCTAGTCCAATGTTTTTTTTTTTTTTTTTGAGACAGAGTCTCACTTTGTCGCCTTGGTAGAGTGCTGTGGAGTCACAGCTCACAGCAACCTCAAACTCTTGGGTTCGAGCAATTCTTTTGCCTCAGCTTCCTGAGTAGCTGGGACTATAGATGTCCACCACACACCTAGCTATTTTTTTTAGAGATGAGATCTTGCTCTGACTCAGGCTGGTCTCGAACTTTGTGACCTCAGGCGATCCACCTGCCTTGGCCTCCCAGAGTGCTAGGATTACAGTGTGAGCCACATGCCCAGCCAGCAAGTCTAATTCTAGATTCCCTATTCTATTCCACTGAGTTATATGTCTGTGATGGAGATGAGGCTACACTATGTTGCTAATGTAGAAAGTCTTGCAGTCAGGTGGTATTAGTCTCCCAGCTTGGCTCTTTTTCAAAATTGTTTTAGCTAGTCTTGGTTTTTGTGTTTCTATGTACTTTTTAGAATCAGCTTGATAATTTCTATTAAATAGCCTGCCAGGATTTTGATTGAGATTGCCTTGAATCTGTAGATCAATTTGTGGAGAATGGACATCTTAACAATATTGAGTCTACTACTCTATAAACATTATATGTGGATAGCTCTCTAGTTATTTAGATCTATTTTAATTTTGTGGATAGGAATTCAATATTATTCATCATTTTTGATGACTAGTACAATAGTGTGTTGTTATCATTTGTCCAGTTGCCTGTGGTTCTTTCAGATTACATCCAGTTTCCCTCCATTAAAACAGTACTACAGTGAATATCTTTGTTGTGCTGTCTTTGCACATAGCCTTGATTATTTACTTAGAATAAATCTGGAGCCAAGTTAACCCTCTTGACTGCTCTTTGCTATTTGCTTTATTTAAACTGTTAGTAATTTGTTACAGTTGGATGTGGAATACCAATGACGTAGGCTTGCTTTCAGGAGGCCCAACAGAGTGGTGATTTAGAATGGGTGGGCAGAGTGTGGCAGTTGGCTAGGCTTGTTTTCTATGGCCCTTGAATTAAGAACTTTTAAGGATCGGGAAAAAAGACTATATGACAAAGGTAGATGTGACCTGTAAACCAGAAGCTATTTGCTATCTGGTGCTTTGAAAATTGCCAATCTCTAATTTAGAGCTAGGCTCTGCCCAGCTGATCAGTACCCCGCCCATTGCTAACTAGCCAGATGATTAGACTTGGCTAAGTTCCTTCATTACTTAAACTCCAATTGTTTCTTTATCTGTAACATGGAGGTAGTGAGAGTGCTTCAAAGGTTATTAGCCACAAATGTTTTTCCTCCTCTTGGAAGTTGCAGGAAGTAGGTTATACTTGTGAATCAAGACTGGGCCTGTCATCATTCTGGTCCTGAGCTTTAAGGCCATAACCTGGGCAGTGCCTAGGCTCAGTGATTAGGGCACTGGCCCCACATACCAAGGGTGGCAGGTTCGAACCCAGCCCTGGCCAAACTGCAACAAAAAAATAGCTGAGCATTGTGGCGGGCACCTGTAGTCCCAGATACTTGGGAGGCTGAGGCAAGAGAATTGCCTAAGGGCTCGGCACCTGTGGCTCAAGCGGCTAAGGCACCAGCCACATAGACCTAAGGTGGCGGGTTCGTAATCCAGCCCAGCCCGACAAATAACAATGATGGCTGCAACCAAAAAATAGCCAGGCATTATGGTGGGTGCCTGTGGTCCCAGCTACTTGGGAGGCTGGGGCAGGAGACTCGCTTGAGCCCAGGAGTTGGAGGAAGAAAATCACAACCTGACTCCCGCCTTCCCCAGTCATCCAGCTGGAGAGATGGGGCACATAACAAAGACACAGAACAAACCCACACTGCAGCTCAAAATAGTACAGGACTAGCACCAACCCAGGGCACTTGGCCTCTGCAGAAACAATGAAAAAAAGAACTTCAAAAATCAGCTTGAAGTGAAGAAGTTTGGAATTTAGAATCTCTAACCCATCACTGTCGTGTGCCTATTTTAAATGTTACCTTCTAACTGCCTCTCCTCCTTTAAACTGCCCACATCTGGGATACTACTGCCCAGCAGAGAATAGTGGTGGGTGTCGTGGTGACATGGATGCACCTGCCTGGGCCTGTAGTCTGAGGTTGCTTTAGACTTGGGGGTTGGAGGTTATAAGCAACAAGGATCCTGGAGAGGCTCAAAGGATGATCTTAGCAACTGAGTGGCATGCGTGTGAGGGTGGGGCTTCCTCTCAGGATGGTTGAAGGCTGTGGCAGCCTGAAGGGGCATTAGAAGAGGAGGCTCCCAGGCTCCCTCCTGCAGACTCTTCTTTGAAGGTCTCCTCTCAGGGGATCTCAAAGGTAATGACCCAGCACTGATAAGGGAAGGTCCAGCACCCCTTAAGAGGGGCTGACCCTGTTTGTCTCTCTGCCCAACTCTGCCTTAGCTATCCTAGGAGTAGCCCCCGTGGATACACTGGGGAGTGTGATGTCTCACACGTGGACACCCCAAATGTACATTGGGATATGTATACTTGTCCCTCCTAAGAGGAATTCTGGGCTACTTTCAGCCTGTAGTTGGTGCTAAGAGTGATTTTAAAATAAAACTATAAGATGTGCACTGGTTCATTCCCCAGGCTCCTTGCCAGAGGCTTCCGCTCATACCAGACCCCTGCAACCAGTCCCTGCCAGCTGCCTAAGGAGGATGCGAATGCTCGATGCTCCTTGCCTTCCCCAGAGGTGAGCCTAGCCTGCTCCCCTCAGGCTGATCCCTTAGTACTATGAGGAGAAAATGTGGGTTTTTCTTTTTAGGCAAAGTGATGGAATTGTGGTATGGAATGGGTTTCTTTTTTTTAAGTTTTTATTTCTTAGAAAACATATATGAATGGAACGTCATTTCGTGCATGTCTGGGATTTGTTACAAAGGCAACAGGAAACAGGAGGCTGAGATGAAGCACGATTGGCCAGGAGGAATCGAGGCACGGGAGGGTGCATCATACACTTCTGCCTGCTTTTGCATGTTCACATTTTCTAGAAGTTAAAAACAAGTGAACGGGGCCTTAAGAATCTGACCAACTTGGGTTTCAGCTCTAGCTCTGACATTCCTATCTGTGAGAGCTGAAACAAGGAGCCCCTATTCTCAGTTTGTGCAGTCAGGCTGGGCACAGCTGCCTCTGAAAGGGCAGGGAGGGTTTGTGAGGATGTGGCACACGGAAGGCGCTTAGCTTGTATCTGGCACCCAGGCAGCAACAGTAACTCATGCTCTGCTGGGAGTCTGGCCAGCTGACCTGGACTGACTGACTGAGGTGGGGAGGGAATTGGAGGAGAAACCTGGGGGTCTACCTTTCCAACCAGATGGGCACACACGTGGCTTCTTTGATGAAAACACTCTTGGCTCCATTTATGTTTGTGGTTGGTTTGGATCTTATTTGGCCGCAGTTTGGAACTATTATCAGATTCCTGGACGTGATTCTGCTGAAATATCAAGTAGCTGAAGCATTTGTTTAGCTTTATTTATTTATTTATTTATTTTTGAGATAGAGTCGCTCTTTCGCCCTGGGTAGAGTGCCATGGCATCATACCTCGAACTCTTGGGCGCAAAAGATCTTGTCTCAGCCTCCTGAGCAGCTGGAACTACAAATACCCACCATGATTCCTGGCTTGATTTTTTAGTAGAGATGAGGTCTCACTCTTGCTCAGGCTAGTCTCAAACTCCAGAACTCAAGCAGTCCACCCCTCCTGACCTCCCAGAGTGCTAAGACTGTAGGTGTGAGCCACCTGCCCAGTCTGTTTAGTTATTTAAAAGATTTTTTTAATAATTATACATTCACTGGAAGTTACAAAAAATTTACAGGAGGTCCTGTGTACTCCTTCCTGTTTTCCCTAGTTGTAACACATCTTTGATGTGTCCATAGTTCAGCCAGCAAAATGACACTGGCACAATTCATAAAGTGTGTCCAAATCTCACCAGATCTATGCACTTTTAACATATGTATAGATCCCGGTAGCCACTGCCACAATCACTACCACCAAGGATTCCCCTTCAGCGGAACATTTATTTTCCAAGAAAGAAGTCATTTTTTCTTGCTTTAAAGATATTTGCCCTGTGTCATCAGCAATTTGTTTTACATTACTTTGGACTTTCTTATATCATCTTAGTTTTTCATAAACATGTATCATTTAAATAGCAACAAATCAATTCTTTCATCACTGGAAACTCTTCATCCCTATACACCTTGTTGCCGTTTGACCCACACTGCTTCCAGGTGGGTTGTCTGTCTGTCTGATTTCCTCTTTGCTCTCCCTGGGGGTCCAGTGCTCAGCTCTTCTGTAGGTGGGGCTCCTACAAGAAGCAAGGCAGTGGCCTGCTGGGCACTTGGCCTTCCAGTGGCTCTTGATAAGACCTCAGTCAACAGTGGCTCTTAGGCTGGGTATGGTGGCTTATGCCTCTAATTCTAGCATTTTGGGAGGCCAAGGCAGGTGGATTGCTTGAGCTCAGGAGTTTGAGACCAGCCTGAGCAAGAGTGAGACCTCATCTCTACTAAAAATAGAAAAATTAGCCAGGCATTATGGTGGGTGTCTGTAGTCCCAGCTACTCAGGAGGCTGAGGCAAGAGTATCACTCAAGCCTAAGAGTTTGAGGTTGCTGTGAGCTATGATGATGCCATGGCACTCTACTCAGGGCAACAGAGTGACACTCTGTCTCAAAAAACCCCCCAACAAACAAACAAACAAAAAAAACTTGGCTCTTGCCTTGTTGAGTTGCAGCCTTTACATACTACCCCTCCTCTGCCTGCCCTGTGGATGGAGTGAGCTCCCAAACATAGACTGGGCTTCCTCTTAACAAAGCGTCTGTAGTTAGGACTCTCTGGCCTGTAGCTCCAGGAATGCAGGCCAGACTCTGTGTCTTCCCTACCAAAGCTTCTGATTATTGGACCTGGCACTTGCCGGCTTCTCTCCCTGTGCTTTTTGTCTCTGTGAGTTCTCGGAATAGCCCACTGGGGTAGCTGTTGTCTTCTCAGAGAAGGGAGACTTCTCAAAGCAGGGCTTAGAGAGGTTAAGCCATTTCCCTGGATCACTTTGTTCATAATAGACCCAACTCAAGGCCAAATTGTACACTTAACCATTGCCTTCCTGCCTCCCATCAGCAGTGGCTGCCGTTAACCCCAGACTGCTTTTTTCTTCCTGTAGGTGAGCCCAGGCCAAAATGGGAGACTCCAGGGATCTTTGCCCTCACCTTGACTCTATAGGAGAGGTTACCAAAGAGGACTTGCTGCTCAAATCTAAGGTAAAGTGCCAGGTCCTATGGGGCAGAAGTCCCACCCAGGGCTAGCACTTTCCTGGGGTGTGGATGTTTCTGGCACAATGGAACTGGCTCCCTGACAGTCTCTGCTTAGCCTTCCGTGTAAATGGAAATGTTGGCATCTGTCTGGGAGGCCTTGTTCTGGGGCCTGTGTCCTCATAGCCATTAATTAGAATTTAGACCAGGCCATTTGGGAGCTGATAATGATTTCTGTCCATTAGCTGTTGGGGTGGGTGCCCAGAGCCTCTCTGAGGCAGGAAATGAATGCTGCTTTCAGAGCCCGTGGGCATCCTGACAAATATGACCTAAGAAGGGCTCAGGGAGGCCAGAGTAGGAGGCTGAGCCCTTCTCTGATGTACCCTCACTGTCTTTTGTTGTTGTTAAATATGTTTAAAAAGGTAACACTATCACATGGTTCAGTAATGAAACAATTTAAAAATAAGTGTAGGCCCTGTGTGGTGGCTCACACCTGTAATCC